ATAGTGTACATGACTGGCTGAAAATGGGTGTATTCTCATGTAACATGAGTGCAAAGTTGTAACATGAGTGCAATTACAAATAGCGCATACTGTCAAAATTTATCATTCTGTCTTTACTTTCTGTGAAGATTTTTCATGTACATCATTAACAAGCAACAACATGATTTCAAGTTCGGATTGGTGTAATAAGAACTTGTAAACTTTTCAAAGACTACAAATTGCACTTGCCCTGCAGGCTTGTGCAATTTTGTTTTATTTGAATAATTTACTTGTGCTTATTACAACTAAATTGCAGTGGAAATCATTTTATTACCTGCGCTAAAGCACTCACTTTCTGCCAATCAGAAGTGCATATTTTTTCATGTATATTTTATTAAGCTGGAAATGGTGTAAGCATAATCAGAAATAAGACATGGCATCAAAATCATGAAATATGTTGGAAAAGGTTTACTTTACACAGTTTTACAGATACAGTAGGGATTGGTATTCATTTGATGTTTTTGAAATTAACAAGTGATTGATACTTTATATTGATTGATTGATTTTTTATTTAATTAATTATTTGATGAACTTATTAGTTGACTGATTGATTGATTGACTGATTGATATATCAACTGATTCATTGATTGACTGTTGATTGATTGACTAATTGATTGATCAATTGATTGATTGCTTAATTGACTGACTAATGGGTACAGTGCACTGTACATGTTGGAGTCTGTGCAAGTGTATGCACAGGACTCCAAGTCCAAAATTTTCCAAAATTGCCAGTTGGGGACTAAAATCATTGATTAGTTGCTTGAAAAAATTTTTTAGTTGACTGAAAGAGAAAAGAAATATTTAAAATGTCAAAGGTTGTGACATTGTAAGTGATTGCTAAACAAAGGTTAAAAACTGGTTGGTAGATTTGCTGCAAATTTAGGGATCAAAATTACTGCGGCTCAAATTTTTGATGTAGTATGTTGCAAGGCCAAAAAGTTCATTATTTGCCTATCATAATATACAATTCATGGGATTCAACACTGTCATTAAAGTCAAAGTGACAAACCTCACATTTTTGCAATTTTATTGCTTCCATTTAAGTTAAAATTTTACTTGTCTTCTGGACAGATATGTAAACTGGAGCCAGGGGTATTTTGGTATCAACGATCCTAATACACAGTTTTACATTGGCAATCAGTATTGCAAGTTCTGGAAGAACATTAACGAGGTGAGAGCACTATCACCCAATGTTTCATTTGTTTAATCCTTTGCACTTTACATCTGGTTGTTGCTGACAGCCAGACGAACACAGGCGTGTATGCATTCATATAAACATAAGGCAATTAATGTTGGTTATGTTGTGGTACCCCTAAGGTGGTACACCTGGGCCCAGTTGGTCAAAGGGGCAGATAGCACTATCCATTGGATACATCGCAATCCAATGTAATATGCTATCCACAGGATAGAGATTTATTCAAGGGATAGGGTTATCCACCTTTCAAACAACTGTTGCCTGGGGTTACAGAATTTATATGCTCCCTTACTGTCTTTTGGAATTCAGTCATGGATGTAGAATCAAGGACCTAAAGTGTTCTTTACAATTCATGATATTCAAAGTTGTTTGTGTTTGGAGGACATGGTAAATTTTGTTAACCTGAATGTAAACAAAATTACGACAAAAAGTCATTATATTGTTATTGTTAAGGTTAAAAAGGTATACTGATATTCATGTTGGATCTTTAAAACTTCACAAAAATTAGCTTGTGACAATTCGAATTCCTTTTTGAACTGAGCGTGGCATTCATTTTATCTTTGTTATTTAGTTTGTGCTTTTGTTTAAAATAAAAGAAAGAACTGCCCTCGTGGAATGATGTCGTAAGTTTCACCCTGCTGAAATACTGTTTCCTCAGTGAACAGAGCGTAGCCTATATTTCTTTCACCCAAACTGTAATTTGGTGCCTTTGTGAGTGAAATTGAAGAAGAAATGTTGACGATGGCCTCCACTGTTTGTATTTCAGGTTTTGTACTACACAACTGCTAACTTGGAGTCCTTAACATTGTTGACCAGGGTCTTTAGGAATGCAATGTTTGATTCCACATTGCCGTGGCAAATGGTTGATAGTGCAGCTGGACGGCTGTCTGTTGTAAGGTGGGTTATAACTGAAAGTTTGTGGATCGCTGTTAAAGTTTGGAGGGTTATAGTTATTTTAACAACGGCTGTATGAAGTTGGAAACGATCACCTACCACTGCTCTTGATTATTAAACAAATTCTCCTTGTCAGTACCATAAGAAATATGTAGAGAACAGTATGGAGAATATGGATACTGATCTTAGGGTGTGCTGTGATGATTTGGTCGAACCAATCATCACGTGTTAAGATTTTGTGATGATTGCTTGGTTGGTCGTTGTAGCCAGGAAGGATCCAGGGACAACAAGTCCTTTTTCCAGTTTTCTTGATTCTTTTCAAGTAAACATTAATGCTTTGTTTCGCACATTCGGCTGCTTCCAAAAAAGACTAAAATAAGCACTGTTTCGACCCTTAAAACTTTTAAAAGTTTCGAATAAGCGCCTTCCCTTGATGGACCAAAAGTCATTACGTTCATCAGATTTAACGAGAGATAAAATATTTTCTGTTAGATCCCCCACGTGTATGTGGTTGGCTGATGGCAATCTTTATGGATTTGAAGGTAGAAATGATTAACATCTAACTTCCTCACACAACGCTGATACATTATCCTGTATGCTGGTGATGAGGATATGGGAATAGACGTTTCAGTTTGGGTGTGAAACCAAACTCGCTAAGCTAATTTTTTATGAGATGTGAAGCGGTTATGAATAAGAGAGACTAATCAGACCCTTGAAGTTTTGAGGGGTGAATACAGTTTTAAAACCATCATGTTATCATGTGGCCAGAGTGAAAATACAGTAGTGGTTCTTGTTAGCCTGTGAGAAGGCCCCATTATGAGAGCTTGGGCGCAAGCGTTTTTTTCCCGCGGGAAAGTACCAGCCCTTGAGCAACGTGAGCCAGTGATAGGTCAGCTAGGGGTCTGGCACTGATAGTAGTACCAGATCCCCGGTAAACCTCTCCCCGACTCGCCTCATATATTCCCGTGGGCGGAGAAACGCGCGACCTGCATCGCTAAAATGACTATAATGGCCTTCTCGCAAGCTAGGTTCTTGTTAGGTGAAGTGATTCTGGAAACTCTCGTCTCAGTTTTTACAGTATGAAAAATTGAATTTAAATTTTGGAGAGGTCGAAGCGTTTGCCAGTACGTAATAAGATTGAATCTTTGAACTTGATTGAATGTATATATTGAATTAAATGTATATATTAACGTTTCTGGTTGTCTTTTTTTTTCTCCTTCCATTTCCAGGATGTAATAAAGTTGGAGGTGAGTTCGTGTTGAAGTGCTTTTTAATCGAGTGGTATAAAACCAACTTCAAAGTAAGCAGAATGGCAAATCAAAGCTGAGGAGAATATCATAAGGGACGAACGAGTACTTAAAGTGTAAACAAGCAACCTTTCCGAAGCACGAGTTAACGAGCATGACAAAATCGCGACTTGATTTTGTGTGCCCTGATTGGTGTATAATGTGGCGCGAGTTTTCTGGACCAATTACGGAGCGAAGTAAAGCAAAATCAATTAAGTAATTCCCGATTTCTATTGACGTTTAGTTGAATGTTTACTCCACAATCAAATTTTACTGCATTTCTCCAACACAAGCATAAACGCACTTTTTAAGTTGTTGGCCACCTGTGGAGGAGAAGTTGGAAATTTTAATTTTCCCATTAAAACTGTCGCTGTTCAAACATCTTTGCGCGAATTTATTTAGCCAAGACGCTATTATTAAGGTGTCGTTTAAACTGCGTTGGCGCTCATTTGTAAAACTTTGATATTGATTTCATATTTCATGTCGTCAGGTTGTTGCCCGCTCAATTGCACACACGTGTTCAACTACGAAATGGCCATTGCAAAGTAAGTTCTGTGGCACTATAACTGTCTAATTTTTGCGAACGTCTGGGTCATTCTTGAAACGATCCCTTTTGAAGTTTCGCTATTGGGATTCATGGTACTCTTCTCTTTGCGCAACCTTTTCACCTTCTCTGAGAGTATGGTAACTTGTAACTTGTCTTCACAATGTGGATGTGTGGTAGAGATGACGCCTGAAAAAGATTAGTGTATTACAAGTGCTAATTATATGGACTTAATTCAAA